TTGTGATCTAAGACTACTTGGAAATCTGAAAATCTGTGTGCATGCTATTAAAATTATACATCTCTCAGAACAAAAGGGAATGCCCTGCCACAGAGGTAGGGTGGGATGGGGGTGATGGGGGATGGGAGGGATACTGGGATCAGTGGTGGTGGAGAATGGATACTGGTGGAGGGATGGATATTCGATCATTGTATAACTGAAACCCAAGCACAAAAATTTGTAAGTCTACAACTGTACCTCATGGTGTTTCAGTAATAAAAATTAAAAAAAAAGAAAGGGAATCGAAAAAAAAATAAAATTATACATCTCTGCACATAAGTTAATACCAGTTATGTTCTACTCCCTTACTGTCACTGTCACTGTCCTCCCATTGTTCATCGATTTGCTCGAGCAGGCCCACTGACATTGTGAGACTTGTTACTGTGTTTGGCATATCGAATACATCACGGGTAGCTTGCCAGGCTCTGCCGTGCGGGCGAGATACTCTCGGTAGCTTGCCAGGCTCTCTGAGAGGGGCGGAGGAATCGAACTCGGGTCAGCCATGTTGGCTGCGTGCAAGGCAAACGCTCTACCGCTGTGCTATCGCTCCATGCACACTCCCTTACTAAAGATATATATATTTTTCTGGTTATAACAATGACCCATTGCTTCTCATGTCTTATCATGCTAAGAAAATGCTTATTAACAACAAGAAAAGTATAAAGGGGGCCAGAGAGACAGCATAACAGAATGCTGCTTGCCTTGCAAATACCTGAGCCTGGTTAGATCCCCAGCATTGCATGTGCTTCCCTGAGTCCCATCAGGAGTGTACCCTGAGCACCCAGCGAGGAGTAAGCTTAGAGCGTATCTAGGTCTGCTCCCTCCTCATTACCCAACTCCTCTAAGTTAAGGATATATTAAGGGTCAGACACAACACCAGGGACTTTTCATGGCATGTGGAAGCTTCTCTGAGGTTGAGCTGTACACAACCATCTGTGGCAGTTGCTCTCAGCTCAAATCTGCTCCATTTCTTTCTAGAAACAGTGACTGGAGGCTTTGTTTGATGTGGCACTCACTGCTTCTGGCTTATAAACTATGTTGGCACTTACTGTTGTTGAGAACAGTGGTTCTCAAAATGTGGTCCCCCCAACCAGACTCCTGAGTGTGACTTGAGGAACTGTAAAAAATGCAGATTCTTGGGCCCCCATCCCAAAACCACTCAGTCCAAATCTGCCTTTCAGCAAACTTCCTTAATGTGTGTGGGAGTTTTTTGGTGATTGTTTCTTTGTTTTGGGGCCACACCTGACTGTACTCAGGAATTACTCCTGGTGGTGCTTGAGGGTCCATCTGGGGTGGGGAGGGGGTGGATGAGGACTGGTGGCTTTTAAAAAAATTTTATTAGTGAAACTCCATGAGGTACAGTTGTAGACTTACAAATTTCTGTGCTTGGGTTTCAGTTATACAATGATCAAGTACCCATCCCTCCGCCAGTGCCCATTCTCCACCACCACTGATCCCAGTGTCCCTCCCACCCCCCATACCCCCCACCTACCCTGCCTCTGTGGCAGGGCATTCCCTTTTGTTCTCTCTCTCCTTTTGGGTGCTGTGGTTTGCAAAAGAGCCATTGAGTGGCAATCATGTTTGGTCTATCGTCTACTTTCAGCATGCATCTCTTATCCTGGGAGGATCTGCTAGGGAAGCTTTTGAGCCACAAAATAAATACATCTGATGCTAGATGAGAAGACTTGGGCTGGGGATGCAGTGAGCGTGGGGTAGGGCGGGAGGCTAAGGCCCAGAGAGGGTTTGAAGGGCAGGCAGGCGAATTATTCTCAAGCATATAGCTAGGTGACTGAGCCAGAGTACCACGGCTAGGGTGCTTGCCTTGCATGAAGCTGATCCCCGCTTGGATCAGGCATAGAGGCTGCTCTGGAGAGCATCCGGGGCAGGTGTTCGGTTATTAGGACACTTTGAGATCATGGGGTGTAGCTGGGAGACCTAGGTCTGATCTCTGACTGATATGGAAGCTGGGGGCAGGGTTCAATTGCTTCTGGAGGGAGACATTCCACCCCATACCTCAGTGGCCTAGATGGTGATTCCTGACTTTTCCTTACAACTTCTGTCTCAGGAGAGGGGGGGTGGCGGGCGGGGAGAGCGGAAAGGGCCTCTGGGTGAGGGCGTGCTTGTCTTCCCTCCTGGAACTTGTGCATTGTGGGGGCTGGGGCTATTGGCAATTGTTTGTAATCCTGCTTGCATGCCCTGCCACAGAGGCAGGGTGGGATGGGGGGGATGGGGGGTGGGAGGGATACTGGGACCCGTGGTGGTGGGAAATGGGCACTGGTGAAGGGATGGGTACTTGATCACTGTATAACTGAAACCCAAGCACAACAATTTGTAAATCTACAACTGTACCTCCTGGTGTTTCACTAATAAAAATTAAAGACAAAAACAAAAACAAAAAACAGCCCGCCAGTTTCTGCAGCAGACTGGGGCAAATGAACTTCTGTGTCTGACTTTAGAGATCTATATAGGTGTCCTTTCATAGATCGACTTTGAACTCACGCTTGAGGGAAACTCATGCCTATCCTCTTTCCTCCTTTCCTCCTTTCCTGCCACCCTTGCTGGGTGCAGAATGCACTGCCACTGCCCCCTGCTGGACATTTTGCGTAATGTTCTATTTGTCATGTTGGGGTGGGGGCTGCCAATGAAATATGAAAGTAAGCTAAAAGGACATCTGATAATTTGTAAAACGTTTTCCACACTAAATGCATTCTAGAATGTTCGCCTTCTGAGAGAGTGACAATAATTTTTTTAACTCCCTCCGTTTTCTTTTTATAAAGTCTGCAATAGTTTATGAGTTATGTTGTGACTGAAATTTCTTATGCTTTAGTGATTACATTAGCAGATTTACTCTGCCTCTGTTTTGAATTTTTTTCCTAAACTGAAAAGCTTTCCAGCTGAGTACCTTGGGTGTTTATCCACGCCGATCACCAGTGTATGTGCTTGTCTACAGAAGTCAAGGTGTAAATCACCCTTTACAAAAATTGCACCTACCCTCCATTCTGTAAATGGAGATTAAGTGTTACCTACAGTGAGTGAAGCTTGTGTTTGTACTTAGTCATTGAGTTCTGTGTTTTCCTCCAGTAGGGTTTTCCTAAGTGTAAGAGATGCTAATCGTGACTGTTCACATGATACTGCCTTGTCACTTGTCAGAGGAAAGTAAATGACCTGACTGAGAATTTTGGGGTAAGATTTTTTTTCAGGTAGCAATCAGAATAATTTCCATGATTCTGTCTCTTAGAGCTTCCCTATTAAGTGTTGAAGTTGCAGTATTCTTTGTTTTGGGGCCCTACCCGGTGGTGCTCCGGGCTTACTCCTGGACCAGTGCTCAGGGATTGCTCCCTGAGCAAATTGCTCAGGGATTGATTGGAGGTTAAGGTGAGCACCCTACCTGCTGGACTATTGATCTGGTCCTCTAAATTGCAATATTCTTGACACACCGCTTTCCCCTGAGCCACCTCTTCAACCCAGGGAAGGCTGGGAAGTCAAGGACTGATAAAGTCTGCGATGAGCCGTACACAGCAGGGACCTGAGTCCTACCAGCCCACGAGGTGACTTCAGGCCACACCTGATGTCCACTTGTTTTGCGCGGCATGGGAGTTAATCCCCACCACCCAGTTTCCCAGAGAGAGTGGACTCATGCTGGTGTGAGGAATTGCTCTTTGCTGGAAAGGAAAGTCAGTCCTAGACCTTCCCAGGCCTTTTGGGTCCGTCATCTTTCAGAGAAGCATTTCAGGAGTAGGTGAGCAGTGATGTAAAAAGATTTTCTTTGGAGATTTTTTGAGGAAGGGGAGAGAGGGAGGGAGGGAGGGAGGGAGAAAGAGAAAGAAACACTGTCAGGAGAGAATGCGGGCTTCTCCAAAGACAGAGAGAGCTCTGAATGGCCATTCAGACCGACTTTTATATCGATATTCTTCAGGTTGTCTTGGTCCTGAGTTTTCTGCAGATGGGAGAGTTGATCAGGCACTGTTATAAAGGACAAAATTGGAAGTTTTCTTTTCTTTTCTTTTTTGAAATTGGAAGTTTTCTGGGGATCTCCTTTAGGTCCTTATCTCAGTCTTTGTCTCTGCTGAGGTTTGTTCTCTTTGTAGTGGTCCAGCCTCCTCAGGGTCTGCTGCTGGTACCCGGTAAAGGTCTTATAGGGCCTTAATTTCTGTGCTCACAAGGTGGGCTTTTTATAGCGTAGGGACTGCTGGTTTTACTACTTCCTAGGAATTCCATTGCTATGGGGCTCCTTCCCTTTTATTACTTCCAGGAATTCCATTGCCATGGGGACCCTTCTCTATCCAACGGCCTGCCTAGCCTGTGTCTCCATGTAAATCCTGGTGGCCTGGTGCTTGGGAGTGTCCTCGGGCTGGAGAACGACCTAGGCAGATGGAGCTTGGAGAAGCTAGATCTTAACGTAGACCCAAGAAGTGGGCTCAGGTTGTTCCTTCCTCTGGACACGGTAAATAAAGCAAATACTCTGGAGGGTCTCTCTCGCTTTCTTCACATGTCCTTCCCAGGATGGTGAAGACAACTGGCCTCATTTATGTGCCAGGAGCAGCCTTGGGAACAGTGGGCAGGAGTAAAGTCACTTCTGTTTTCTCACAGAGACCCTCACTCACCACTGAAGGACAGAGGGTCTAGAGTTGGCGCTCTAGGTTGGACACGGTCTGAAAACGTTTCTTCTTTCTTTCTTTCTTTCTCTCTCTCTCTTTCTTTCTTTCTTTCTTTCTTTCTCTCTTTCTCTCTTTCTCTCTTTCTCTCTCTTTTTCTTTCATTCAATATTTTTATTGAATCACAGTGAGATACACAGTTACAAGATTGTTCATGATCCGGTTTTTGTCATACAATGTTCCAACACCTGTCCCTTCACCAGTGTACATTTCCCACCACCGATGTCCCCAGTTTCCCTGCCCCCCTTCCACCTCCTACTTTTTTCTCTCTCTCTCACTCATGTTCTTTTTTCTTTTTCATTCCAGTTGCGAATGAAGCCGGAGACAAGACGGCCAGGCCTCTCGCTCGATTCTCCCGTGAGTAAATCTTGTTCTGCTTCCTTCCTGGGCTCTTTCAGCCATCTTTTCATCTGGTAGCTCGCCTCGGGCACCTTCAGTCAGCACACAACACAGACACAGAAGCTCTCTTCCGGGGCGGCTGTCCTGTTTGAGCCCCGCCAGGGGTGCCCTCGGCACTGCTGTTGCTATTGCAGCCTTCAGATCTGTGGCTTACCCAGCTGTGCTCCGGGACTCAGCAGAACTGACCGTGACCACCACAGAAGGGACAGGGCCTGTCGAGAAAGGCAGAGGCCAGGCTCGCACCAGAGCCGCTGAGTCAGGGTGGGCTTTTCAGCAAGCCCCCCGACTCCTGTGCCAGCTGGGATGTGGAAAGCCCCACACTGGGGAATCGCAGCAGCTTTTCGAGGGAAGGTTCTGTGATTTACATAAAGACAGTGAGAAAAGAGTGTGTGGAGAGCTTGGTCCACTCCTGTCCACTCCACACTATCGCGACACAATGTGCATTTATGAGCAGCACTACTGGCTTTACCTTGGCTCGTGTGTGTGTGTGTGTGTGTATGAATTTGCATAGTGTGCATACATATATTTGCATACACATATTTGCATATATATGTAAGTATTTGCATGTATGTATAAATATAGACACATATGTACATATATGTTTATATTTTTGTTTAGCTTAAACTACTTCATTTTTTAAAGCTGAGTTTTAATTAACTCAGGTTCTGTGATTTATAAACTGTTAACGATGGTTTCCCATGCACCTACTTCCAACACTGCACCTGTCCTCAATGTGCCCACTTCCTGCCCCAAGGACCCCAGTATCTCTCCCTTTGAGACACATTGTCCCTTTCCCCCTCCTCCACCCCCAACACACACAGACACAGACACAGACACACACACACACACAGGAACTCAGGTAGGGGTCAGACCACCACTTTGTTGGCTTTGACCCTCTGTTGCTACCTTGCCGTGTATCTTTAAGTTCTTGTATGAGAGGGATCATCCTGTGTCTGTCCTTGGGGGTGCACATATTTTAGGGGCCACACTTGGCACTGTGGAGGCAGAACATGAGGTGCGTGGGGGGGCAAACTGAGCTCCTGGCCTTGGGCAGGCAAGGACTGCACACTAGCCCCTGAGCCTGCTCCCCTGCCCAGGTCATCCTGAAGGCCCGAGAGAGTGAATGGTTTCCCACAGCCTGGGCCTTCTGGAGCGGTTCCCAGCCACATCCGTTTTGCTTGACTCCTGTGTCGCTGGATCTTGAACCCCGTGGGGGAGCAGGAGTCAGTGCATCACCCCGTTTGCTATAGCAGAGCACGGTGCCCTTCAGGGAAGAAAACCGGGGTGTCCTGTGAAGAGCGTAGGTTCACTGGAGAGGGATCCACATGTGCGAATCTTCAGGCATCAACTTTCTATCCACTATTATGCACTGGCTTTGACTAGAAGTCGCTCCACTTCTCCAGTGTGGACCTCACATTTCCCACCTGCAAATACAGGGCAAGCACACCAACTTTCTTTCCTTTATAAAAAAAATGGTTCTCTTTCGAAGTGGTGGCACGAGAGAAGTTCCATGAATTCCTAGTTATGGCATTGTTCATGGAGGAGTGGGTGGGAGGGTTTTACCACAACGTTTGATTTTGGTGCTGCCTCACCCCATGAGGTCTGTGCTTGAGAGCTGAGCCACACCCCCAGCTCGTTGACCAGGTGTTGACACTGGATTTTGGCAGAACAAGTCACTGTAAAGTCGGAAGTGTTATTCCTCTACATACAGGGCTTCTTTTAAAACTTTTGGAACTGATTGAAAACTTCGGGACTGATTCCTAGAAATGATTTTTATGCAGCTGTGATAATATATGGTGGTGAAAGAGCACTAAGTACTTGCCTTTAGAAATTGTGTCACAAAACACTTCTCGTGGGCTCCAGTTCTCACTGCCTGCCTGGAAGCAGTAGTTCCAAAATAAGTCCATCCTGCAGCTCATTGGGGATGCTGATTGTGCTTGGTCATCTCATGAGCAGTTGTCAGATACACTCATAAGCTGGACCCACATCCTAGCTCTGCCCTGGGGCACTGTCCTTCGTGCACATGCTGGGAGCATTTCTCAGAATGTGGGAAGGGGCTGCAAGCCACAAGGAGCCCCTTGTAGTCTGTGCCTTTGCTCTAAGAGATTTCCAAATATTGTAGCAGGGTGGGAAGGTTGATTGGTTGGGGACAGGTGGGAAAAGGTTTTCTCTGGAGGAAAAAACAGTTAGGACAGCCAGTTATGTAGGACCTAATCCTGGGAAAGGAAAAGGAACAAAAAGTCTCCCTCAAGTGCAACGTGCTGGAAAAAGAGACCAGATGACACATCAAACCTTGGGCTAGAGCGTTAGCACAGCAGGTAGGGTGTTAACCTTGCACGTGACTGACCTGGGTTCGATTCCCAGCATCCCATATAGTCCCTGGAGCATTGCCAGGAGTGATTTCTAAGTGCAGAGCCAGGAGTAACCCCTGACCATCGCCAGGTGTGACCCCAAAAGAAAAAAAATGTACCAAACCTTTCTGTAACAAATCCAAGCAGGAAAACAGGCAGCTTTTAGGAAGGCAACAGTCAGTCATACGCATCTCTGATTGCGACTCACTTTACTCCAATGAAGCTTCCAGCTGGGGAAGGTGAGTGGATCTGGATTTAGGCTTTTCTTTGGAAACTGGAAGGTGCCACCTGGCAACTTTCCCTATGACACAAACCTTACCAGCATGGAGTTAAGATCAAGAAGGCAGGGAGGATCAGGTGCAAATGTTGCAAAAACTCAGCCCTCAGGGCCAGTAGAAAAAAACTCAGAAGGCCTGGAGAAAGGGAGCGTCTGTTTCCCGCCTTTCTTGTATTTCCAATGCTTTCATTCTAAGGGGACCCTGATGCCCTCGGGCCATCTCCTTTTTCCCCTGTTGTTCACCTGTACTTTTCCCTGTATTGCAGCAGAGGTGAGCAGTGGTGATTTTATTGAAGGAATCATAAAGGAAGTGGGGTGTGGGTTGCCAGATTGAAGCCTGGGTTTGAGTCTCAGAATTGTGTAGTTCCCAGAGCCTTGTTGGAAGCAGCTCTGAGCACTGAGACAGGAGGCAGGAGTAACTCCTGAGCACCACCGGGTGTGGCTGAAAAACTGAAAAAAAAAAAACACCCCCCCAAAAACAAAATGAAACAAAACAAAACAAAAACCAAAGGAGAACTAGAGGGCAATAGAGTGTGGGAAATAGAGTGTGAGTGTCCGTTGAAACATCACATCATCAGTTGGGGGCTGGAGTGATAGCCCACTGGGTAGGGTATTTGCCTTGCACACAGTCAACCTGAATTTGATTCCCAGCATCCCATATGGTCCCCCGAGCACTTCCATGGGTAATTCCTGAGTGCATGAGCCAGAAGTAACCCCTGAGCATCGCCAGGTGTGACCCACCCCCCCAAAAAACCCCGTGGTTTCCAGGGCCAGAGCAATATAGTAGAGTGGGTAGGGCATTTGTCTTGCACGTGGCTGACCTGGGTTCAAGCCCCGGCATCTGGTATAGTTTCCCTGAGTCCTGCCATGAATGATTCCAGAGTGTAGAGCGAGGAGTAAGCCCTGAGCACTGTTGGGTGTGACCTCCCACTGAAACACAACAGAACAAAATCCAGTTTGCCACACACTGACTTCTGACCCTGCCTTGGCCAGCAGCTGGTTTTCCAGCTGGTCCTCTTCTGAGAGGTCTGTTCTACAACACGGTCCCCTTTCTTCTCGCTACTTCCTGTCTCTGTGTAACTGACTGGCTCCGCCACCTCCAACCATGGTGTCTTCCTCGAAGAAACTGATATCACTGCTCCTGAGTGGAGCTCAGTGCCTGTCACCTACAGGCTGGAGGCACTGTGATGCCATAAAGGGCAGTATGGGTGTGGCAGATGCTCTGGGGACTCCAGATCCTATTAGGCATCCATCACCATCCCTTGTGATTTTACACTATTGTTGATGATTGTCTTCATCAGAGTGGCTCTTTAATAGCAACTGCAGGCTCATGGAGTAGCAAGGAAGGCATTTCCCTGGGCATAAATGAAGGTGGGGAGATGAGGTCCAGGAAGTGGGGAATAGTATTATCCTCCTTCCCAAACCTACAGGAGATCAGTATTCAGAGAACGAGGGCCAAGAATGAACAAGACTAATGTACTGGGTGAGCTCCAGACATGTGGGCTTGGATCAGCTTAGTGTGGGAGCTCAGAGTGACCTGCATCATGCAGTGAGCTCTTTTGGACTCCGTGTGTGTGGCCTCGTTCCCCAATGCCATGGGCAAGGGGAGCTGGCAGAGTTTCACTGTGGGCACTGCAGGCCAGGCTTCTGTCCACCGTGGCTGTCTCCATTTTACACATGAAGGCAACCTGTCCAGATAAAACTTTGGGAATTTGCTCACATCTAGAATTCTATGTCCTTAGTTCCAATTTTGTTTGATTCTGGTGTCTGTCCATTCCTGGCCTGAGGTGCTGGGCTTTGTGGATTCAGTGACTTAGGGACTTGGGGACCTGGCAGCTTGATGGTGGAGGCCCTGCAGCCATTTGCACAGGATGGCTTCCTAGGTCCACAGTGTCCTGACCCCCTCTTGCAGATGGTTCCATCTGGGGCAGGAAGATCTTTCTTGGGACACTCCTTTCTGCCAGCTCCCGGAAACTCCCTCAACAAAGGGAAAAGCTTCAAGGATGGAAATGCAAATCCTCATTCTTACTCTGGTGAAAATGACTGGTAATAGGCCCTTTATTCCTCTCCCCACCCAAAAATAAATTCTTAGTATAGAAACAGAGGGGACCGGTGGGACTATTTCAGCTACTGTTCATTTATGTTTCCTGAGTAGTTACTGAATACCCTGATGAACTTACACTACTTTTTGCATCAGAAATGGGTTCAACCAGGACAAGATCCCTGCCATTGAGGATAGTAAGGCTTGGAGTGAGGAGTCAGAAAGCTACCAGGTGATAGAACTGAAAAGGCCGGGTCTGAGGGTAAGAGAGAGATGGAGGGGGCGTAAG